CCCTGGAGGAGGGTGCGGCAACCCACTCCAGTATTCTCACCTGGGAAATCCCGTGGATAGAGGAGCTTGGTGGGCTATAGTCCATGGGGGTCTCGAAGAGTCAGACACAACTTAGCGACTAAACAACAACCATAAAGATAAAACAATACAAAAAAATTTTCATGAACACCTGGATACATATTAATTCCATTGTCACTTTAGACTTTAACTCTTTCAGTCACTATTTAGCTAAACCTTGTCTTTTTTTTGGCTTTCTTCCATATCCAATAGCAAAAGCCCTTAGGCCTAATTCACGGGTCCTGATCAGCTGCTTGAAGTATTCCTGACACGTGTCTATTGCAGGCTGCCTCCCCTGGCTGCTGTTGACTCTTAGAAGCTCACTAAGTCAGCAGTCACGGTCAAGAGGGACCATCTCTTCCCCATGACTGTGGCTTCCTACAGTCCTGGGAACACTGTTTCATTCTCCTTTTTGATCACAGCACTCAGGGTAGGAAAGAGGCTGCAACTTTTTCTGTTTAGCATCTCTTTCTTTCTTTATAAAGTATTTTTTTAATTGAAATATAATTGATTACAATGTTGTTAGTTTCCAGTTACAGCAAAGTGATTCTGTTATACATACATATCTATTTTTTTCAGATTCTTTTCCCATATAGGTTATTACAAAATACTGAGTATAGTTTGGGATTAATATATATACACCACTATATATAAAATAACAAACAAGGACCTACTGTATAGCACAGGGAACTGTGTCCAGTATCTCTTTAACCGACTCTATTCTAGTCCAGAAGCAGTTACTCTTGGGGATCACACTAGGGGCTCAATCTTTACCTCTTACCTTCCATCAGAAATAACTTACTTCCTTACTCAAATATACTTTCTCTCAAATATTTCTTACTCAAATAAAACTTTCAGAAAACAGTAGTATGGGCAAAGCACTCTAGGATTATTTTATTTCATTCTTTTTAATGCAGTCTGGACCCACTAAATTGATTTTACAACACATTGATGAATTGTAATCTAGTTTGGAAACCAATGCTCTAGTTTATTCTGCTAAATGCTCTGAGTTTTCCTGAATGTATATTAATTACTCAGCCAAAAAGGCTATGAGATTATTTTCAACTAAAGGTCTTCCAAAGATTTCTGTCAGAAATCTTTACCTTTACTCTTTGAAAAGGTGTAAAGGTACTTTGAAAAGTACCTTTTTTCCTTCTTAACGTGGAAAGCACATTTTGAGCAGTGTGAAGTTTTTAAATGATCACAGGAAGGGTTCAATAAGTGAATTAATAAATATCCACTGACAACCTATGTTTTGCAAAAGATGACTCAAAGCACTGTGTGTGTGTGTGCATGCTCATAGCTTTCATTTCAGGACTGTAGGAATTCAGCTCTCAACCAATGTTAGTTATTGGTACTGGAGTTGACCAGCTAGGCACCCCAAAACACATAACCCAGCACTCTGGACCCTGCATCCTTCCTCTAGGATTAGCTGCTCCAATGGACTTGGAACTCCTGCCTGCCCCGCTGCTGAGGCTCGGGGATGTTTTCCTGCTAAGGCAGCAGGAGCCATAATACCCCTCCCATCTCAGGTGCCAGATGATCACATGACTGTAATTGCAGGCGCGGGGGCTGAGTTAATTCTCTTAGCTTTTAAATTTTTTATTTATTTATTGTTCTTGGCTGTGCTGGGTCTTCGTTGCTGCGCGGGCTTTTCTCTAGTTAGGGCGAGCGGGGGCGACTCTCTGGTTGCGGGGCGCAGGCTTCCCACTGCAGCAGCTTCTCTTGTTGCGGAGCGCAGGCTCTGGGGTGCGTGGGCTCAGTCGTGGCGCAGAGGCTTAGTTGCTCCACGGCACGTGGGATCTTCCTGGATCAGGGATCAAGCCCGTGTCTTCTGCACTGGCAGGCGGACTCTTTGCCACTGAGCCACCTGCAAAGCTCTCTTAGCTATTAAACATCCCTACTCTCCAGCAAGCACCATTGTCCAAGCAACTTGGCCAGTCCCGTGGGTCCTTTTGTGCTTTACCTAGTTGGGCCCTAGATTTTCCCCTCCTTCGGTGTCTTTACAAATGCTTTCAGGGCCCCCCTCCACTGCCTCCTCTGGAGACCCTGCCATCTCTCTGGGGTTCCCCTGGTAGGCGGGCTCTCTGAGATGCCCCTGGGCACAGTTCCTGCCCCCAGAGAGAGAGGAAGCTCCCCCTCCCTCACTTTCCTCCTCTCTAAGGCCTGGGAGAGGGAAGCCATGAAGTGTAGTCACCGTTGGCCTCCTGTTCCTTCACCTCCTGGCTGCCGCCATTCCCCTACTGAGCACTTCGGTCGCCTCATTTCCTCCTGTCTCTTGTCCTCAAGGCCGCCACCTCCCAAACGGCTTCGACGCCTCAGGCTCCATGCCACCCATGCAAATGTCCTGTCACACCACAGCTCGGCAGATGTCCCTTATTACGATGGACAGAGGAGGAGAAAATGAAAGCTTTGATGGGAAATCATAACTCAGAGCTGTGGGATTAAAAGGAGATGTCCAGAAAGAATTTCTGGTTCTTAATATCTGGTCACCTGAGTCATTCCCGCCCATTACTCCCGAGAGGGGAACCCCAGAGAAGGAAGTCACCCTCATGTCAGGGCCCGCTCTCTCTGTCAGCCCTCCTGGGCCCACAGCTGACCGCCTTGGCTCCTGCCGTCATATTTCAGAGTCCCTTTCGGTCTCCCGCACCTTCTCAGCCTGCTCCCCCACACCCCCTCCACAGTCACCCCACCTTCATATTTCATGCCCACCCTCGCCCATCATCCCCAGCACGAGCCCTGCTGACCTGTCCAGGGGCCTGCTGCCCTCGCCCCTACCCAGCCCGCCTTTTAGACCAGGCTCTAATTCCCCCTCTCTCTGAACGTCTGCATTGCCTGTGCGCTGGACGCTCAGCCCAGGACAGGCCACGCATGTTGCCTTTAACATCAGTGAGCCGCAGCGTATTCCCTTCTCCAACCCACTGGGGTAAGGCTCAGCTCGGTGGTCCTTCCAGCCCCTCCCTCAGCTAGACTGCCCGTCCGGTGCGTCTTAGCCCAATTCCGGATCCTTGGACTGAAGCCTTTTCCCTGCCCAGCATCCAGCAGTGGGAGCAGAGCCGAGCTGAACCCCAGTTCATGTTTGCTGAATGACTGGGTGGGTTTTTGTGGCTCCTGAGAGGTCAGTGAAAGCCAGTCAGGGCAATGGGAAAAGGGATTGTGTTTAAAAGGCACACTTGTGGGTTCCTGGCCCGTTCTAGGTGGGTGGTTTCTCCTGCCCCCCTTCCCTCTGCCCCCCACCGCCCCCCACACCCCTCTCTTCTCCTCTAAGGCTGTTGAAAGCCCCAGGCAAAGCAGAGCTATAATGCGGAAGTTTTGGGCTGAGAAGCATCTCTGCTCATTTCTCAGTTGCCCAAAGTCGACTGTGAATTCTTTCACCAGAGCACATCGATTCCTATCTACAAGGGGGAGGTGCCCCCGTGAGCTCACTGGTGAACCTGCGGAGCCCCCTTTCCAGTGTTGCCTCAACAGGAAGCAGAGATCCTGTGGGAAGCGGGCAGGCTTGGGAAAAGGGTGGAGAAGAGCCGCTGGACCCCCCAGACGAGGGCCCTTCTCTGAAGACATGAGCATGGGTAAATGGTTAACAAAAGGGAGGGTTCCTCTCTGCTCCTCCTCCTCTGCCAGAGAATTCACCTTTAACCGTTGACCTTCCTGCGAGGTGTAAGATCTGAACAAAGTTGAACACAGTCATGGATGGTTAAATACCCATCTTTCCCTTCGGCCCCTACCTCTGCCCTTATGCCTCAGAAGATGGTCTGAGGTGTTTAGACCACCCCCGAGGTGGGCTGGCTGGTGACGGAGCAAAGACAGACACACACAGACAATGAACGTTGGAAATGGCCCTCTGACCCCTTAGGAAACCAGAGCCTGAGCTCTTAAAGCCAAACAGAGGCCCGTGCCGAGAAGGCCAAGCCGTGCCCATCAGACTGGGCTTAACGGAAGCAGGCGTTTCCAGGCACCCACACCAGAGTCAGCTGTCTACCCTCTGACATTGGGTGACTGTTTCCGGCTCACTTCTCTGTGAAGCCCACCCCTGCATGCCCCCCACCCCGTGGCCAGACACCTTCAGGCCCACTCCAGAAGGCATTCTAAGATGTGTTGGCAGAATCCCCCAGGCTTCCCAGACCTCCCCTAACCCCCTCACACATGTTTTATTTAGTGTAGCCCGATAGCTTGCAATCCCACCCCTCCATGTGCTTAATTGAGTTTGCAGAGAATTGACATCCTGTTGCTTCATTTGTTCAGGATGCTTTTTTTCCATTCAGTGCCTGTGCCTGCCCTGGCTGGGGGCCGGGCCTCATCTTCCTGGCCTGTTCCCTTCATCTCCAGTTGGCCAGGACCAGTGTGCACGCCCCACTTTGATGTGTGTGACGGGTGCTGGCCTTCGGGCTGGGTTAGGGCCGGGAGCGGGTGGGGCCAGGCCTACCAGGGCCCCCGCCTCCATGCGGGCGTGGGCCAGGTCCTTGGACGACAGCTTGGAGGGTCTTGGGTTTCATACTTGATGCCTCCCCAAGCCACTGGGAGCTAGACGTAAGCATATGGTTCATGCATCAGTGCACGTCGGAAGGCTTCTCTAAGCAGCCCCCTCACCCTGCCCAGCAGGTTGGAACTTCAGGCCTGGTCTCTCCATTCATAGAGCCTGAGAGAGGGAAGAAAACCCGAGGGGCTGCCCACGTGCTGGCAGGACCTCCACAGCCTTCCATGCTTCCATCCCCAGGCAGGACTGGGAGAAGGAGCAGAGGGGCGAGGACAGACCAGTTTGGGCTGGTGGGAAATAGATGAAACCCTGCACGCGCCCAGCCTCAGAACAGACCACAAGCATCCTGCACAGCTCCCAGTGATCAAATCAGATTCTGATCTCTCTTCCCCTTGATCTCGGCACCGGCTGCTCCCTGCAGGGTCCGTGTTGCAATCCTCTTTAAAGAAATATTTTATTTTCGATACAGACACAGCCCTTGACGTAGCAGTAAAAACCACCACCCCCGAGAGACACATGGCTGTGAAGTGTGTTGGTATGTAACTTCCTGTCTTTGCCTACATACAGGGCTTCATCCCCTGGTCTTTTTTGTCCCCCCCCCCAGAGGTCACCCCCACCCCCGACCCCGCCTGGTGCTCAGGCTTTGGGAGGCATCAGAGTGAGGGCAGGAGGTTGACTCAGACGGGGAGTACCTTCTGGCCGTGGCCTGGTTTGGGGTGGGGAGTAGTCGCCCTTGTTCCCCCAACAAGAGTTTCTTTGAGAACCTCACTCCCCGCCCCCCACTTTTAAGATGGAAGTCAAATTTTCGGATTCTGCAGTGCAGAGCAGAGAGGTCACTAGGCTCTAATGCATTTACCATTGACTGCCCCTCTTGTAGTGCGTCTATTAGTGAGTAATTTGATTTGTACCTATTCATTTGCAGTCCCTGCAGGAGCCTGGAGCTGGCCCCTAGTATAATTGGTGCTGTCTCTATTTTTACATCATTAGATTAGCCCCGACTCCTGGCCACTTGTTGTCTGCGCTTGTCTGTCCATTTATACAACCTAATGTAACACAAAATTCATTACTGATCACATTACTTTCAACTCTGAAGCCAGCCTTGTGATAAACATTTGGTTAACCCCTTCCTGCCCACAGGAGGGGGGGGCTGACAGAACAAATGCACTTCCACTCGACAGGCAAATCAATATCTTAATACAGCAAAGTGGAATTGCATTTCTAGATTTGTTATTCCTCCTGGAGGAGCAAATGGAAAAGCTCGTCTGAGCGAGCTGAATTGAATAATGAATAGAGCCCGGCACCGGCAGGCAGTCTACACAGAGCACAGAGGCTGACCCAGCGTCTGCCCACCTTCTCCTCTGCCACGGGCGGCACCGCGGCGATTAATCGAGACTCGTAACTATGGGCTCAGGAGCCTAGGCTGGGACCCTAACAGGGGCCACAGACACCTCGACCCCAGCGCCAATGTCTTAGCTAGGCTTGGCCTAGGACGACTGATCCATGAACTGGGTTTATTTCCTTAAAACCTTCACTGATATGAAGGCACCAGACACATGGCCTTGGCGGTCATGCCACCCAGAAATTAAATTAAATCCATTACTAACCGTTAACCACTTGGAACCAGATATACAAGATTCTTCCTATTTAGAGCCAGGTCAGCAATACTGGGATCGCCATGTGTGCTGGGCCCACCTCCAGGGTGAGTGTTCTTTGGTGTGGAAATGCCTTGTGAGCCTAAAAGTGGTCTGAGAGCTCAGATAGGGATGTCGGTGAGCAACCTGGCCTAGAGTCATCAAGGGACCTCTCTTGAATCTGAAGATTCTCGCTTACCCCCACCAGAGTTATCCCCTCCCCAACCCCTGTTTGTCTCTGGGGAGCATCCACACCCTCTTGAAATCATTAACTCGCAGGACAGATTGTTTCAAAAAGAATAATACCTTGACTTATTTTATTCAAAAAAAAAAGGCTCATAAAGCCTATACCACAATGATTAGAAAAATGGACATAGAGGAAGTAGAATGGAACCCATTATGGTGAAAGTCGTAAATCCCTAAGTAAAAAGAAGCCGTAAGCTGAAGGTGCTCAGTTGGGAAGGGAAGCTGGAAAAGGCAAGCCAGCCCAGGGAACTGTGCTTGAATTCAGGCAAGGGCTGAACAGGAGGCCAGGAGAGGCACCGACGCCTCGGGTGAGTGGGCCTCCTCGCTGTGGAAGGGGCCACCCTCATCCCACCAAGGCCAGGTACCTTGGACCAAGCTGCCCATTAACCTGTTTGGGGCTGTGATAGGCCAGAGGTGACCAGCAAGCCCCTGCCCCTTGGTGGCCCTGGGGGTCCCTTGGGCGGGCTCCCTGGCTGCCCCTGGCCGAGTGCATCCCTCCTCCATGCGTGGGGGGTGGGTAGCCGCCCTCCACCTCCAGGGGGGCTCCATGGCAGGCCAGAGATGCAAGATGCTCTGAGGAGCTACAGAGAAGGGAATCCCTCGACAGGGCGTCACAAGACCCAGCACATCCAGATACTGGTGTGTCCCCAGGGCGAGCCTGGGTCCCGCAGCTGTGTGCCCAGTGTGGCTCGCCTCCCTGCCCCCACGAAGCCTGCAGGAGCTCTGGCTTCAGCTGTTCCTCCTTGGGGGGAGGGCCCTGGCCCCTTCAGCCCCGAGAAAACAGAGCTGAGCACAGGCCCTTCCTTGGCGGAGCAGGAGGGATCAGCGGCCGGGAGGAGCGCCGGTCAGCCACCGGAGTGCGAGACAGTGATTTCTTAACCCTGGTGGAAGGGGGGAAGCCACATCTTACCAAACTCTTCCGCTGCGTCGGAGAGAATTTAATTACGTTTGGACGTTTGAATGGGAACCAGATGTGGCTCGAGCCCTTCAAACCAGCCACGTTCGGGGAGCAGCGTCTCCCCTGCGGTCCGCAGGCCGCCGCTGCGCCATCTCACAGCCCCAGAGAGGGTCTCGAGAAGACTCTGCTTCAGGAGGCAGGGCAGGTTGAGGCCGGCTGCCGGACTCCTGGCTCGCTGGGACAGTTTCCAAGCCCTGTGTCCTCCCTGGAGCCGTGCTGAGTGGCCCATTCACGGGGCGCCATGTGCAGGCGCGCGCAGAGGAGGCTGTTCCCAGAGCCGGCCAGGCATCCCTCAGCTCCATGCCCCCCTCCACCCGCCACGGCTGTCTCAGGTGCCACCTGCCAAGGTGCTGCCCGCGGCCCGTGCTGCTGGCCTGGGGCTAGAGGGGGCAGTTCAGGCCTTCCTGGGTGAGGACCGCTTCTCCGGGGGCCTCGGAGACAGCACCCGCAGCTCTCTGGCCAGGACCCCACTGCAGTGACAGTCTCTCCCACACCCTCGGGGCTTATCCTGCTTCTCGAAGCACCTTCACGTCGTCCTCTCTTCAGAGCCTCACACGGCCCGTGAGGTGGCCAGGGCAGCCGCTGCCCTCCTGCCTGACCGGTGGTGAAGCGGAGGAGGGCTGCGGGGACTTGCCCAGGTCGTTCAGTCTGTGGCAGAGCGGGAGTTAGGGCGAGTTCTCGGCCACCTCTTCCCCGCAGCCATTGGGAGGGTCCGTGCCAGGCTGCTCATCTGTCTGGCTGATCTCAAGCACGTTTCAGCCAGATTTATCACATCACTCAAAACCGGGGACCGTGAGCCAGATGGGCTCCGCCCTTGCCGGCCCCATGTATAATACGCCAGGACAGGACTCACTCTGCCTGGGCCAGGATTTACAGTTAGACTGATGGTAGTGGCCCCGAGAGGGTCCCTGCACGCGGGTGCTGCTGGGCGGGCGGATGGGGGGTCCTGCCCTCTTCCCCTTAAGCCAAGACTGAGCGGGCCTGGGTCACGAGGGGTTCCTGGGAGTGGGTCTCTCCCTGCCTGGAGCTGGTGCCGTGTTGTGGCTGTGGTGGGAGGGGCCTCGGGGAAAGGCTGCAGCCCCCAGACCCCAACCCGCCTCCTGGGTAACCCCCTGTCTAAGGCTGGGCAGGGAGCTGCTCTGCCTGGGACTCTCATGCTCTGCTCCCTGTCCCACCCCCAGCACACACGCATGCCCACACACGTACGTGCATGTGTGCGCGCATACACACCCAGGGCCAGGTGGAGGATGCCTTCTGAACACAGACCCTGCCTCATTCTTCAGGCCTCCACCCCGCCCCCTCTTTTTTCCTCTTTGATTATTTCTTCCCCAGCATTACAGCATGTGCCTCTGTGTCATCCCCACTGGGCCCACCAGGAACTCCAGGATCTAGCCTACTCTCTGCCCCTGCCTCATGTATAAATGCCAGACTGGCCCACTCTCATGAGTAGGGTTTTTCCACAGGCCTGAGGACCTGTCCTCGTGGAGGGAAGAAAGGGGCTGTGTCTTTTCCTCCAGATACAGAGAGGGCTCTCCACCTGATGGTCTCCTTAGGCATCCTTTCCAGGTATTGATCCTGCCTTTCACCTTCCAAGGGAGGGGTCAGTGGATGCCCAGAAGGACTGAGGTCTCCCTTAGACCCCAAGTCTCCCCCCAAACCCTGAGGTTATTAGGCACCCAGGCCTGGCCCCAGTGGTACAATTCAAGGAACCCAAGGCAAGAGCAGCAACTATTTGCCCTTAACATTTGGAGCTGGGGAAGGGGAGGGGCAAGGGGCAAGGCAGGCCATGTGACCTTGGCCTCATCCTGTGATGTTCTGGGTCTCAGTACCTGCGGGAAGGTCAGGAAAAAGAGCTGGGCAGGGAGATAAGAAAGCAGGTTTGCAGGAGCACTTGGGTTGGAAGAGACTCCTGCCAGGAAGGAAGGTGTGTACCTGCAGACTGGCTGCAGGACTTGGGCCGTTGGCACAAGCTCTCAGGGACCCCAGGCTGAGTGTGCGGCGAGAGGACTGGAAGTAGGCGGCCTAAGTGCTCAGACACAGGTGCGAAGGCCCGGAGAGTCCCAGGCCGTTGTTAGCCATCTTTTCATCCACTCCTTCATTCCATCGACCAGAGCAGGGTACCCCTTATCTGAACGTGGAAGGGCCTTTTCATCCTCAGCCCCTCGACTATAGGAAACTGCCCTCCTTCCTTCCACAAGCAAGCCTGGGAGGGGAGCAGAAACCCCTTGCTGGAAGAGAAAGAGGACACCTTCTCAGCCCCACCCAGCCCCTAAGACCTGGTGTGGGTGAGGGTCCCTGGTCTGCTGGCATCTTTGCCGCCTGGTGGGGGTGCCTGAGGGTAGGACCCTGAAGGGCCGAGGGGGCAGGAAGAGCAAGGGTGGGTGTGTCCAAGTGGGAAGAAAATCAGGAGCCCCCTGCAGGCCGCCTCCTCTTTAACTGTGGCCCTTTTAACCTCCTGAAAGATGCCCTGGGGCTGAGGCCGGCTCAGCCCACAGTGTGGACAGAGCTGTCAGAGTTTCAGAAGGTGATCTCAGCCGACTCCCCCCCCTTTCTCCCTGAAGAGCCCCCCCCCACCTCCCCAAGTGACACTCTGGAAGAGAGGACAGTAGTTTCCAGGCCCAGGGCTGCTGTGAGACAAGCAGCCCAAAGCCACGTCCCCCAGGACCACCCCCTAGTTGGCATCCAGTTCATCTCTTTGGG